CAAGTTTATTAAAAATGTAATATCTTTATCAAAATTAAAGATAGAATAATAAAATTTAAATATATTATATATAAAAGAAATATCTTTAATTCTATTCAATAAATAGGGGGTCAAGCTTAAATAAATTTTAAGAAAACTCAAAAAAACTTTTTAAAAATGATTTTAGTAGACAATTTTGGCCATTAGACGGTTTAAGGGATAGTACAGTATAGTTAATACTATCTAATTACATTTAAAAAGTATATGCAATTAGATAGTATCAACTGCATAAAATATAGATAAGTTACTGAAAAGTAAAAATTAAAAGCCTGCTCTTTGTTTTGATTATATATATTATTTAAATTATTTGATGATAAATACAATGCTATCTCTTCTTTTTTTTATGATCTTATTCTTTCTTTTTTTACATATTTGCTATATTTCTTCTCATATACATTTCTTTTATATATTTATAACTTTACAGATGGATAATATTAACCAAGCTACCTCTGGTTCAAAAACTTCAACACCATTAACTATGAAAGGAATTGCTAAAGCATTAAATATATATTCGAAAATTTAAATAAAACTAATTTCAAACTAAACTATATTAACGAAATATTTGAGCAACACCAAGAAACTGTTTCTATTCAAACTACAAAGCTTCAAGACATGTATAATAATTTAAACACAATATTTCAAGAAACATTTTTTACTTTAAGCATGAATATCTTAGAAATACAAAATAAAGTTATTGAATATATTGATGATCAAAAAAATATATTAAATATTCTTGAAGATATTAGATCTGAACACTCTCATGAGCCACTTTTGGAAATAATTAATCCAAAAAATAAATCAATAAAAAATTCAACTCAATATTCTACATCACATCCTACTTTGTGGAATTCGATTTATTACAAGATAAATGATCATCAAAATTCTGCAAATATAGATAAACCTTCTTCAAGTTTAACTTAGAAAAACTACCAGATGATCATTATAATCGGGAAGGATAAATAATTATATAAGATTTTATCTAGAAGATTATAATAAAAGAAGTGAAAATTTACGTAAGTATATAGAAGTATTATATATATATAAATATTTGAATAATATATATATATATTTTTATAAATAATAGGACAAAGAGAGTTATAGAGTGAAGATACTATAAGAGATATAATTATTGGATATGTTAGATACCTTCACAAATGAAATATGTCTTCAAAAGAGAAAATTGAAAGCAATAAAGTGTTTAATAGAAGAAGAGTATGAAAAATTCAGGTATATGCAGCTTATGTAATATTTTTAATCTTTGTATGAATTTATAATAATTAATATAATTTGTATTAATTATATATATATTAGAAAGCAAAAAAATAATATGAGTGTGCAAAACTTATAGATTTTGACAAATTAGGTCAATCTTTATCTGATATTGAAAAAGTAATAAAACCCGAATATACAAGTCCAGAAATTAGTGGTGAAGAAAATGAAAAAGATATATTTTATATTATTCAAATTCCATAGCAAAATCAAAGTATAAGTTTATAGTTTAAATATAAATTTTGTTTAATTAATAATATAACTTATTTAGTTTATATTTATATAGCTTTGTGAACTAATTCAAAAACTCGATCAAGAAAATAAAAAAAAAGAAAGATCTTCAAAGCATTAGAAAAAACACAAAGGTAGTCCATCTTCATTATGTATTGAAGTAAATCAAGATTATGAACGATTTGATAATTTAAAGACCCATTTATCTGTTGCTCCTAATTCGGATGATATTAATGATGGTATTTGGCCAGCCTGGGCTTTACCAGATAATCGTGATGATGCTGATCATAACTTTGAATCTGATAATTAAATTGTTTTTCAGTAAATATTTTAATATATTTTTATAATAATTTAACCTATAATTTAATATTTATTACATATTTTTTAATAGAAAACAATTCAACAAGTTACGAAACCTGCTTAAATTAAAAACAAATAATAATTAAATAATTCTTTAATTTATATAATTAAAAACAATGAATACATATAATATGTATTATTTAGCATTTAGTATAAATAAATAATAAATTATTAGATTATATATAGAAAATGGATAGAAATAAGTAATTATTTACACTATATATTTTAAAATAATATAATTATATATAATTCAATAAATATATAGTAATTTATTCAATAATATATAATAAACATATAGTAAATTAATTAAATGATATACCAAATATTAACTATATACTTTAAAATAATATATTTATATACAATCCAATAAATATATAGTAATTTATTCGATAATATATAATAAATATATAGTAAATTAATTAAATAATATACTATCTATTAACTATATACTTTAAAATAATATATTTATATATAATTCAATAAATATAGAGACCTGTTATTGCCACCCCCATTTTTGTTAATGCCACCCTCCCAGATATCAAAAAGTGCTCCGGAAGAGGTATTTTTATTAAGTAAATCCTTATTTTGATCTTAATAAAACTTGTTCATCAGGCCATTTCGGTTCTAATGGTAGTAAAATCATTAAAATCGAACTAGTAGTTTCTAAGATATATATATCCGAATTTAGCTAAAATTATCAAAGAACTACTGGCCCGATTTTAATGATTTTACTACCAATAGAACCGGAAAGGCCTGATGAACAACTTTTATTAAAGTCAAAATAAGGATTTACTTAATAAAAATACCTCTTTCGGGCACTTTTTTAAATTTTGAGGGGTGGCATTAACAAAAATAGGGGTGGCAATAACAAGTCTCTAAATATATAGTAATTTATTCGATAATATATAATAAATAAATAGTAAAGATTCTTTAATATATAATTGTGATTAAACAAGAATAATAGATGCTAAAAAAATTTTGAAATATATAATTATAATAATACATATAACTGAGAGAACCACATTTTTAATAAATAAATCAAATAATAAAATTCTGCGGCAAAAATTGTTTAATTCGAAAGAGCTCAAGGCACCTAAACCCAGAACTACTAACTATAACAAAAGGAACAACCAAGCCCTGACTGACCCAACAGATCTAGTAGTGGAAGAAACCCCGCACTACCCACCTACCGAAGGCAAACCCCACAAACATGTCAAACACAACACCTTGACTTCAACAACAATGGCCCAACAAACTACAGAAGTTGTAAACAGTCCACCACAGGAACAACAAGCACAGCACCAAGAACAAACCCAACCCATACAACACCCAAGCGACACCGTATTAACGACCTTAACGAATGAACATCAACAACAACCATCTAGAGGAAACATTTAAAATACCCCACCACAACAACAAACCAATAATGAGCACGTGACCCAGACAGAATTTTCCACGGCTATGGAAATCACAATAGATCAACCAACACAGGTTATACAAATAGTGACCCCAGAAAAACACAGCAACGAAGATCAATCTATGGAAATAACTGACAACTTCATTAAGTCACAATTAGCACCACTACCTACAGGCAAGGAAATTTCACAACAACAATTGACCAACTGGCAAAAATCTAATGTACCTAGCTATAGTCAGGTCACAAAGAAATCAACAAAGCGTTCGTATGAAAATCAAAACTCTGTCCTGGTATAGCAGATTGTCAACTCATTGAAGAAACATAAAACTGAAGCATTCAATCATGAAATTTGGAATAATGACAACATCATAAAGGCATTATCTGATGAAGATCTCTTTGACAAGTTCATCCAACATAAACTCAAAACAGTTATCAAAAACATTAACGTACCACCAGCAATCGCGAGCAAGTTAAGACATATGGACACAGCCTTCTTCAAGTCATTCTCACGAGATAGGAACAATCAACCCAACCACCAAATAGAATTCAACACACTGATGAATATTGCACTAGAAAAATACAAACGCAAACATGAGGCTTATCTAGTCAATAAGAATAACCGCGATCAAATTTATAATAAACTAAGGAAAAAGATTGCCATTGACGGTATTCTCACATTAAACCTAAATCTCCATGGCGACCACGTTAGCACACAATACATATACTACCTAATGAACTTCGGCAAAATCTAATCCACAATTGAGTTCGAACAAGTACGCAGATTAATTGGACAAGCTCAAACTGGTTTTAGAGATGAACTTCCTCCTAAACCGAATGAAATACCTGTAGATATTATGGATATCATACCCTTTACACTCCCCTTGAAGGACAATAGCAAAACAGCTACAGTGGTTAAAGCACTCAGACTTATTTATAATTTTCAAAGTATACCCGATTTCTACTTCATTCTCCCAAGAACCCCACTACCAGACCATCCCAGTAAACTCCATTCCAGCATCAGAGCATTATTTCCAATTACACAGAGAAGCAACTTACAATTCCTGGCAGAATATCGTCACAGACTCCAAAAATATCACACACTTAAGGAAAAATTACCTCTTACTTACTTCAATCTACCTCCTGAGAAGCTGAACTTACCATCTACACCACAGGACCTTAACTCAAACGTCAGACACCTGTTTCATTGTAAACCTAAATATGATAGCGAACTCAGAGACCTAGTCGCCAAACTAAGACAGTACTACAAATTTAAAAGACTACCAAGCGACTACATTATTAGCCGTAAGCCGCTCCCATTACAACCCGAACAAATTGCAACTTACCGCAAATTCACATTCCCCATACAAGATAAAATGAGTGCACTGCAGTTCATAGCAGAAATTGCAGAGGAATACTGTATCCCGGATCCTATCCCAGTGAAATATATCGCAATAAACTACACCAATAAATCTAACTTACCTGATAACCATACCCAGATTAAGGAAATGAGTTTAACAATACCGATGACCTCACCAAAACAGCTGGTAGACATAGCCAGAGAACTCCGTACCTACTACTTCTTTCATAAACTACCTTTAGAATGAATACAGATCGAAAACAACCATGATACGAAGGTATCTGACAGCAAACCACCATTACCACAAAGCATCGAAGAGCTCCAGCAACAACTAGCAACACTAGATCCGAAGCTCAGCATACAATTACCAATTAACGACTACAAAATGATTGAACCCACATTAGACATTATTAGCACATACTTTAGCATACCAAATTATCCACATTACATACACGACTTACTGGACTTACCACCACCAGACTTGAATATAGTAGACAATTATGCTCCATCATGATGAGTGACCTATCAGAACCAACCAACTCGATGTTGGATAACATATGCAACATAAATTATACCCAAATCCAAGACATTGTGCAACAAACAACTAACACACAAATAATTACACACAATAAACTTAATATACCACAGGTCACAGCCATTTATCTCTAGATTATCAGAAACAAACTTAAATATTATAGCTCACAACGTTCAAGGTATCAACAATAATCTTAAGCTCCAACACTGTGCTAGTACAAATACAGACATCGTCATAATGACAGAAACCAAACTGTCAGCATCACACACACATCCCACGAGCTTGGTGAACCCTTGGTTCAAGGCATACACTGCCAACTGTGATGAATATAACGCCTCATTAAGACAATCAGTCAAAGGGGTAGCTATCGCACTTAAACTGCCTTGCCTCTTTAGCCCTATATTCACAACATCAAGACCATACCCGGCTTTGCTCTTGCAATCAATTTTTTCTTCCCTAACAACAATAAATTAAGGCTCATTTGGGTCTATATCTCATTGACTACCACAAATCAAATGAAAATAGCTCAACAGACAATCATCAAATGGATTCAACAAGCAAGATCACATAATTTCCACACAATTATTGCTAGTGATTTTAACTCAAATGCACAGAGGAAGAACCAATCTATCCTAATCACCTACCTTATGAACTCAAACTTAATTAGCTTATTTACATTTAATGACATCAATACCCCTACTTGGCAATCCAATACTCTCTCAAGCCAAATCGATGACATATGGATCAACTAGGAAATAATCTTAGACTTTAACCAACCAACTCTATCCTCATCTACATCTTCGACCAATAGCGACCACAAAATCATACAAGAACAATGGACAATCCCAAGTTGCTTACACGTACCAAGGACAAAGAAAGCGAAGCGCAAAGTATACCTTTACCCAAAAACAGACCAGGAGTGGAAAGCATTTACTAATTATATTAGTACGCAGTTAGCCAAAGTATCATCAACATACAAGGAGTTAGCTAGTCAAGAAGATATTGATAAAGCCTAGACAAACATTCAACAAATTATTAAACAAGCCGCTAACAAACATATACCCTTTAAATACCTTTGGTCAAAGCAATTTAAATCATTCACACTTAAAGCAACCCAATTGCATTCTAGGTTTAAAAGTGTTAACTACATACTAAATATTCTCAACCATTTCTCACCACTCTATCTTATATCACATCTACTATTAACAATTACTTATGCAAAATTATTATTAATAATGTATCTGTAGCCGACTTTAATGAGAACAACTTCAAGGACACATACTCCAGGCTGAAAGAACTTAGAAAAGCTATCTACCAAGCCAGAAACTTGGAGAACCAACAACATCAAAAAGAAATAATACACAACAGAATTACCAGAAGACAAGATAATTTCAAGGACTATACGACCAAGATGATTGACAGCATACTAAAGAGAAACCACCAGTATATTCAGCTAAAAAACGTCACAACACCAACGTCAGTAACTGTAGAACCAACAAACATAAAAAAGGAAACATCGAAACACTTTGAGATGTGGACAAACCACAACCCCACCAACTGGAACTTATAGTCCCAGTGGGAAAAATACTATCAACCAATACCAATCATCAACCATCAAAACTACTTATCACTTTCAGGACCAATTACTATCACAGAATTAACACAGACAATCCATCAATCACCTAACGATAAAGCAACAGGACCCTCTCTAATCTCAAATGAAATGTTAAAACACCTACTAGAAATCGCACTATCCAATATACTAAATATATTCAATGCATATTTAGAATTCTCAACCATCCCAGCAGCATGGCGCCAAGGACTTGTTTGGCCAATAGCAAAAAATGGCTACAAGCAAGGAAACCATGATAGAACTAGGCCAATTACACTCATAGAACACACACGGAAGATACTAACAAAAATATTAACAAACAGGCTCAATTCAATCCTAGTTCAGCTAAATATATTGTCTCCCAGCAATAATGTAGCACTTCCAGGTATCTCAACTGCCCAACTGATCAACCAGCTTACTCACATAAGAGAAGACGCACATACCAACAACAAACAGTTATGGATCTTGGCTCAAGACACTTCTAAAGCATACGATACAGTACATATACCGCTACTAATCAAAGCACTCGAAAGAATTAAATTACCAAGACAATTCATAAATTTAATCTCAAATATCCTTTCTAACCGCACTAACCAAGTTATCACTACCCTGGAGAAAACACCTAGCTACCCCATTCATGACGGACTGGATCAAGGGAAAACCATATCACCAATCCTATGTAGGATATATTACGATCCGTTAATTTCAAGAATATCATCGGAATACTACGGTTTTGAGATGTCCATATCTCACACCCAGACAGACGAATCAATGACTTTAAACACATCTGTATTAGTGTTCATGGACGATACAACTTGGATTTCAAGCAACAGGCAACAATTAGAACATATACTCAGCATAGCACATTCCTTCTATACATTCGCAAACATTACAGTCAACCCCAACAAATTAGTACTGCTCCACAATCAAAAAGACGACATAAATCCTATCCAATTCCAAGACCATCAGATTTACAACCTTCAGAGGAACCAGACACTCAGATTTTTAGGCACTTATATAGACCACACCAAGACTAACTCCATAGTCACCAAGCAGATTATTAGAACATTTAACCAGCAACTAAACAAGATTAAACACTCTCACATCACAGAGAAGCAAGCGATTTATATCATAAACACCGTACTCATAGCCCAACTTAGATACCAACTTCAAAACACAATACTATCACAATCAACATGTGACAAAATTACATCAAATTATACCTCACTGGTCAAACAGAAAGCATCATTAGCAAGAGGAGTCCCCAACTCTACAATTACTAACCCACTTACATACGGATTAACAGACATCACCCAGATACAAACACACAATCATATCTTAACCTTGTCTAATCAACTTAACTTAGGCCTTAAATCATTCCAAATTAGACTACAACAATTACAAGAAAGCGCACAAACAAATACATCTATTCTAATCGATAAGGTAGTCTTTACTTCTGTCCAACAGTCTACGTTCACAGGTCAAATTATCCAATCGGCTCTGAGCATAAACTTTAGCTTCCAAGGTCCACCTAAAGCGTGGCCAAAGGTCTTACAATTTAAAGGAAACTCGATCAACACCATATTAGAAAATATACCAAATGGCAATAAGATTAAAAGCTGGCTACATAAATACCAAATATTTGCAATAGAACAATTTCTCAACTTTGACTGTACAAGTTTTGTTTCATGGACACAATTCTATCACAATATTCTCAAGATACCACGAAGTAGGAAACCACGTTGGTTTGACTTAGTACAAGAAGCAATAGCATTCCAAACTTCCCCAACATCCATGTTTCCAACTAACAATCCATACACCTGGCAAATGGTAGAAAAAAATTGCAAAAAACAATGGGTAATTACCTCAGACAAGTTAATAGGCAAGGTTAAATCAATCAAAAATACAAAAATCGCAATTCAACACTGAACGCTAAACAATAGTAATCAACTTACAAAATGCAAAGGATGTGGTTTTAGCACAGGAAAAAACTGCACAATCAAAACGACCATGGGTCACTTATACAAGATACAGGTTGACCACCAGAAGCGATGCAACAGTTTTTAAATCCTCTACCACAAATAACATACCGGACACACAACAACCAGTATACGCCACAACGATTCCAACTATCATTTCAAATGGCAGAAGCATTCTCAAATATTAGCAACAAAATTTGGTCCTTAGCAAATGTACAGTCTATATCCAAAGTCGATATACTAATAACAACTAAGAAAACAGATTTGAGAATACCAATCGCAGTAATCAAGTTCTGATCTGAAACTCTTCAGATAAGCAATATGTATTGGCATTAGCCGAGAAAGGTCGCAATTACTACATTATTAATATTAGCTATAATAGCAAACTTTAATGATTCAATTAATATACACACTAATTCTAGAAGTATAACCATGGCAATAGATGAACTAAACAACTGAACTGGTAACAACAACCCAAAACCGAATCAAAACATATATATACCATACATAATAGCATTATATAGACTGGTAAACCAAAAGAATTTAACTTTTACAGTCTCCATAGGGACGAACATAAAAAAACAGGATCATGTACAAATACTATGCACAGAATTTAATCCGAGAGAGTTCATACACAAATTCTTCATACCAACGATATATAACTACCTGGTCCAGTTTCCATTAAAAGTAGTACTAAAGGATTTTTTCAAAGCAATTAATATAAACAAATAGTTACAACAAAAGAGAATTAAACGGTGGATAACAAAAGACAACAATATAGATTGGCAAACTTCATTCTTATCGCTTAACTGAGAAGACAAACCCAACCAAAGATATACGAATACAACAATCTCGAATACAAAAAATTTCAAAATTAAATTGATCACCAACGAATTACCAAATAGACAAACATTACATCAACACAACCCATCCACCAACACTTCTCTTGCATGTCTACGGTACGGCTACTACCAAGAAGACAATGCATATTGGATTAGCTGCTATACGAATACAACATCACTAAGAACTATAATTGTCGATCAGCTAACACAAATCATAAATAAATACTCTGTTAACTTAACTAATACTAATACTAACACATTTATTGATAAGAATCACACAACAACAAGCCAATATTCAAGGACAGTCTAATGTTATTACTAGTATAGTGAACATTGCAAATGTAGAACATATAAGCATTTTTAAGTGGATTCATCAATATATCATGGGTAATACAAAACCAATCGACATCAGCAACATAGTCTAGAGGTCTTTGACCGGTCTAGCTAAGACTAGGTCTGAAGTAAACTAGCTTTATCCTCATCCGTAAATAATAGAAATTAAATCATACTGTTGTAAACATGTAATATTTAAAAGAAATTATAATAAAGGATACGAGGAAAGGACCTCTCTTATAAAAAAAAAAAAAATACATAGTAAATTAATTAAATAATATACTATATATTAACAATATATTTGTTAGCAATATAATTATATATATTCCAATAAATATATAGTAAGCTATTTGATAATATATAGTAAATATATAGTAAATTAATTAAATAATATACTATCTATTAACTATATACTTTAGAATAATATATATATTTATAATCCAATAAATAAATAGTAATTTATTTGATAATATATAATAAATACATAGTAAATTAATTAAATAATATACCAAATATTAACAATATATTTTTTAGCAATATATTCCAATAAATATATAGTAATTTATTCGATAATACATAATAAATATATAGTAAATTAATTAAATAATATACTAAATATTAACAATATATTTTTTAGCAATATAATTATATATATTCCAATAAATATATAGTACTTTATTTGATAATATATAACAAATATATAGTAAATATAAAGTAAATTAATTAAATAATATACTAAATATTAACAATATATTTTAGTTTTACTATAATAATATATTTTCTAATAAATATATAATTAAAAATCAGTAAATTTATTAGATAATATATAGAAAATATAAAGAAATAAGTAATAATTTGTACTAAATATTAACTATATATTACTATACAGGAATAAATATTTTAAAATTATTACTTAGTTATATATAGTAAAAATATAAATAATATTTAAATATATTTATTATATATTTTCAAAATATTTTTCTAAAAATATATACTATTTTTACCTGTGTATGTATTTACTTATATGTAGGATAGGGAATATACGTTTGTATATGGTTAATTGGAACAAATTATTATGAATCAAAGAATGATGTTCTTCACGGTGAAAACTCTTTTATTATATACTTTTGATCGGGATGGTAAATGACCCAAATGATCAAATGACTATGGCCAATCATTGGGAAATTTCACATACAAATTCAAATAGAAGGTCACATTTATCTAACGTCTTTTAGCCGATCAAAATTGATTATTATGCAAAAAGTAATATTATCAATCATCGTAACTACATATAAAAGTAAAATCTACTAAATCGATAAGATGTAAATATCAATCAACTTAGTAAATTTTGGCTTGACTTTATTTGTAGCTACGATCATCAATTAGTGAAGCCACAGCGTTCGATGACTTATTATATTTAAAAGTTAGAGGCAAGGGTTAGAATACAAAGTTTTTTTTTTTGCATTAAAAAATATTAACGGCCCAATAACAAATCGTTGAACTTTGCTTTTCTTTTTCGAAAATTTATATACAGTACTTTACGTATAAATATGATGTATGACAAATATTTAATATTTATTATGCTGTAGTTTTGAATTTATGCTAAGGCAATTATGCTTTTTGCAAATATTTACCAGGCTATTATCAACTTCTGAAATCTTAATGCGTCTCATTTTTTTAATAGTGGATAGCTTATTCAATATATATATATGAGATCTAAACATCCAATTATCCAAAAAAAAAAAAAGCTATTTTGAAAAAAATAATTTCAAAGCTATTTTCAATAAACGTTGTAACACAAAAACATATATTTCAACAATAAAATTTATAATTACATGCCGCAATTCTTGAAACATTAATCCTGTTTATTAACTGGTTCAGGCAGGTTTTTAAAGTCAAGCAATTTGTTTACAAATTTGTCTCGAAAATTGCCTTGTGGTAATGTTATTAATTTCGGAATGGCGGTATTTGCTGTTTGAAATGCCTTTTTTATTTCTGATTTTTGATTATTCCAGCTCTGATCATCTATTATACTATTCCAACTTTTGTTTATGATATAATTCCAGCTATCCAACTCATGATAAATTTCTTTTGCATTTGGTCTTTTAGAAGGATTTGCATTCGTGCATCGACTTGCTAAATTAATATAGCATTCTGGCGTATCTTTGGAAAATTCTGGCCGTAAACCGTTACATATTTCAATGGCTAGCCGCTCATCATGTTCTTTATCATAATAAGGTAGTATTCCAGTCGATATTTCAGTCATAATTATACCAAAGCTATAAATATCTGCCGCTGATGTGTAAGTTGGTTTAATTAATACTTCTGGTGCGACATATGGTAATACACCATATACGCATTCTTCTATGTATGAATCTTCATTCCTTTTAATTAATCCTAGGCCTGAGATGTATGATTTCAGATTATCATCAATAAATTGATGTTGCAATATATTTTCACTACGAAGGTTACAATGAACATATCCTGCCTCATGAATCTGTGCCAAATCTCTTGATATATCAATAAGTTGTTCTAATTTATTTTTCCAGTTAAGTTCATTAAAATTTGTTGATAAAAACTTGCAAAGACTTCCTCGGTTTACATATTGAAACACCATCAAATATTCGTTATTTGTTTTATCTTGTGTTATTCCATATACTTTAAGTTTACTACCCTTATGCCTAAGTCGTGCATAATTTTTAAACTTGAAAGATAAAAAGTAAATAAACTTACAGTATTCGTAAAATTAACAATTAAATAAAATAAAAAAAGTATAGCTTACTTCTTGTAAAAAATCCTTATGAGAGCTGGGCAATTTCTTTAGTGCAACCACATATGACGGTGTACGTTGTTGGGTGTATTTGAGGTCAGCATAAGAAACAGTTCTTTTACCATCTAGCCAGGTTGCTATGAATACCGATCCACATTGTCCTTCGTTAACGCCTTGAATTCCATCTAAGTTTTCGAAAGAAATCCATTCTAACACTTCATCATACTCTTTTGCTTCAAGTTGGAATTCTTTTATACAATCATCAACATTTTTATTCCCACTCGTCCATCCTTGAGTAGCTTTCAGAGGATTGCATGATACACACCAGGCTTTTGAAGTGTTGTGTCGGTCACAATATGCGCACTTTCCATATCTCTCGTCTCTTTTGAAATCAAAAACCATTAAATATTCATTTGTGGCATTATTTCTGGTTAGTCCATACACTTTAATTGTATCATAATCCGAATCTATGTATGCTTTGACCTAAAGAAAATATATTATTGGTCAAAATAAAATTATAAAGTTTTGCACAGTAAAGAATAAAATTATTTTTAACTTACTTCACTTAAAAAATCTAACAAATCTTGAGAATCAGGCATAATTTTAAGATCAACTATGCATGGTGGTGTGCGTGTTTGTGTGCATTTTTCATTAACATACGGATCTATTCGTTTACCGTCCAACCAAGTTGCAGAAAAGCCATTACTGGTCTTTTGTATATTATCTAATTTTTCAAAAGAGATCCATTCAATCGCTTCTTCATACTCTGTTGTTCTAAGTTGAATTTTTTTTATAAAATCATCCACAATCTTATTCCCACTTGTCCATCCTTTAGTTATTTTTTGTGGGTCACACATCTGACACCAAGCTTTGCAAGTATTGTATCGATTACAGTCCGCACAGTTACCATTGGATTCTCTCCTCATAAAATCAAATGTATTAACCACCATAAAATACTCATTTGTGGTTGTATTTTGAGTTATCCCATAAATATTAGGTACATAATCATCGAAGCGAACATAATTTTTGAACTTGTATAAAAAAAAATTATATGAATAGAGGTAGAATTCATAGCTTTATGTTAAGATAAAAATATACACATAATAAAATAAAAACTTTAACATACTTCGTTTAGAAAGTCTGGTAAATTCTGAAAATCTGGTAAAGGCTTAAGATCGACTTTACAAGGTGATGTACGCAACTGTATATAAATGTCTGACATTTCTCTTCTACCATCTAACCA